GGATGGAATAAACCTTATTAATCCAAATCTTCAAGGCTACCCACAACATTCATCTGAATATCAGTGTGAATAAAAGAACCAAATCCATGCACAGAAAGACATAACTATATGCTGTGTAACAAGGGGCAAAGTTATGCTTTAACAAGGTTTACTCCTATTCACACTTGACTCAAGGAAAAAAAGAAATAACACAAGCAACTAGACTAAGAATGAGCAATAATTTCCAGGGTCATTCTCTTTCTAAATGAGTTATGTAAAAAGATTAAAATCATCAGTATTCACAACAAAAATCCTGAATTGCTGGAGGTTGAGAGGAAAAGTTACCACTTGGACTTTTCTTATAAGGAGAAATCAGTGAACTAGACTGACCAATGGTAAGCCTGAGCCAGCAGAGTGGTACTTGTTTGCTATATTCATCCAATTAATACCTCAGTTATTAAGGTCTAATTCAAATAATATTTGAGATGTTTATGAAAGAAACGCTCATAAATAAATTTCTTTTTGGCAGATGAAAATTGGTAATTTCTTGTAATTTTGATTACTGAAGAAGAGAGATACTAACTTCTCTCATTGAGGCAAAAAAAGGGTCCCAACATCTGTTTTCATTATCTGCAGAGGACTTTTCTTTAAAATCATTAAGAAAAGAAAGGGTTCCTTTATCCTCTATAATAAACATTTCACATGGTTATGATTCAATATGCTATATACTGCAATGCTAATTCTCATTATTCTTCAAACATCATATTTGAGGACATTAATACACTATTAATATGACTAACTTTTTCACAGAAGTTAAGCCATATGGAACCAAATGGCACAATTCAGCCGTATAAATGACTAGATAGTGCAGGCCACCTTCTGCCCTACTGCATCTCTGCTGGCTCCACTTGCATTTGCAGGCCTAGACCAAGGGAGGAACCTGTGTCTCTCCAGAAACTGGAAGCATAAGCAACTTTTTATTCCTTCCCAAAACAGAGATATTCCATAAAAAGGCAGGGATCAATTCATATGCTAGACTTGTCTGCATGAAACCTGCAATATGCGTCACCCACCAGAGAAGCATTTCTCCAAACAAATCATGGAGATGAAACTCATCCTTTAATACTGTTTGGCAAGAGTAGTGAATTTTGTTCATTACTTCTGTTAATTGTTAAATCAGTAAAATACAGAGTAACTGAAATAACCTGGCAGTTCAGTAAGAGAGTGGCACCATTGATTCCTGCAACTTTTTGTCCCTGCCTGGAATACAGCAACCATACCAGGCAATTCACTGTTCTCAACCAGATCCTGTGTGTCTGATCCCAAGGCCCTGAGACAGCCAAGTGTATCAGCAGTCCTGTCAGTCTCACCGTTAATCTTAAGCACAGGTAACATCAAGGGACCTCTAGGACTGAAGGACATCCTCTGCCTGCTAAAGCACAGGAGCCTCTTTTATCCCCCCTTCCCCCAAACCCACAATTTTCTTGCCCCAACAGACTCTGTACAGTAATGAAGGATCACATTTCTCCCCTTCAACCAATCTTCTCTTCCCATGCCTCTCCTCTCTCTTCAGTCCTCCTACATTTGCTGTGGAAATAACACATTTTACTGACCCAACACCTCCTGGGCAGCTGGTTCCCACAGCTGTGGTGCAAAAGGCAATTAAGATAAAACACAGCTCCGCAATGAATCACAAGCCTGAACAGATCTCAGAGGTCATCTAGTCCATTCCTCTGCCCCACGGGAGGTTCAGCTATCCCCTTGCCACTTCTTACAGACATCTATGTCACCTTCTTTTAAAAACTTCAGTGATAAAACTTAGACAGGATCCCTAGGCAATATATCCCAGTGTTTCACCACCTTTGCAAAGAAGTTCAATCTTTCCTCACAGCTCACATTTTCTAACCCTCAGATCTTTTTTCTCTCTTTCTTTACAAGTCTTACCAGACCTTTTCTATTTTCCTCACACAAACAACTGAAATCAAAGCACTTTGCTTCAAAAACTACTTTTAAAAGTGATCATTGAAAAATTTGCTGTATATTGCAGCTGGAATTAAATCACCTTTTTCCATTGTGCAACTGTAACATAATTTTAAAGACTTTGAATTAAAAACTATTCACATTCTGCTTGTTTTAATGCCATATTGTAGTTGTGCATATGCAGCAGGAGAACCAGGGCCACTGTTGTCATACATAATAACAAAATAAAAAAAAATTGAGATTTAAAAACCAATTCAATTTTCCATAATCAAGGTAAATCCACACTTGTTACAGATAATCCCAATGTTAGAAAATAATGACCTATCAAAGAGATTAAATTTGACTTTGCTCAAGCAAGCAGTTTTGTTAGGAACACATTCAGTCCATTACAGAGAGCAGAGCAGATCAGATTTGGCTCACATCTTTCCTACACCCTGAATTCATATGTCATCTGACTGAACTGTTTTTAGATCAGTGAAAAAGCACGGCAGGAAGAGAAGTAAAGCAATGCTATAGTTAACCTACATCTTCATGATTACTGCTGGCTTTACTTTCCTCAGTGAATAGTTACAGGAAGAAAGTACATATAAGGGTTAGAAATACCTCCTTTTGTAAATTAATTTAGTCTGCTGCATGGAATAGCAAGGACAGAGGGCACCACTTACCTAGATTTTAATACTCTGAAAATGAGATAAAATTTTGGTTATTCATGAACAACAATGAATTTGTAACTTCTCTAATACACTAGACACAACATAAAGCATTTTTTCATTTTAAACGGTGGATTACGAAAGCCAGAGAAAAACCTGGATTGGACCCCAAAGAAGTATAACAAGGTAACACATTATTCCCTTTCTATTGTTGCTACATACTGGGCTTAACATGTCACAGGACCAAAGACAAGGCCTGTGAAAGGACTACAGGCCTTTACAGATAAGAAGTCTTAAAGTTCTTTCTTGGAGCCAAATCTTTAAACAAAAAAATACAAAATCCCACAGAAGAACAAACAAAGCACATTTTAAGCACGAGTTTAACTAATGTATTCATTATGCACTTTAAACAAAGTGTATCAATGAGAAATTAAAATTCGCGATGCTCCTCTTTGAGCTGAAGGTCTCCTTGGAAAAATTTCACGGATAAATCCATTCCCTCATGATTTCCAAGATCTTTTAAAAGGTGTGGCAATGTCAGATATAACAGATGTGAAGAATTCTATTACACTCTGCATTCCCAATGAGAATTACTCTAGTCCGAGATGAAAAACTAACACTTTGCTACTGAAAATTTCAAGAACAGATGCCAACATATTTCATGATGACTTCTGATTACAGGAAAAATACAACACAGGTCAGCACTGATATTCAAATTGTATTTTGACCCATTCCAGACAAGCCCCTCCATGTACAATGACAGAAGAACATCCAGAACTTATGATCCAAGTATCAAGTGAAGACAAAACATGAGAAAAATCTAACACTTGCCCCAGCAGTGTCACAAAAAATACTAAAAATCTCCATCTAATTTTTAGAACACTCATGATATATAAAAGAGGAGACTATGGATTTGCAAAATCCACAAAGAATTATTTTCCTCAGATTACAAACAGAGAGACTTGAAAATTCAATTTTTAACATAGCTGCACGTCTGAAATACACCATGTATCAAGTATACTGAGAAATTATACTGTGCATTTTACAGAATCCAAGGCATGAATTTACAAATTTCAGCAAAGTTTCTTCAAACAGGTGACCACATCTCAAAACATAAATCATCATTCTGAAAAAAACCATTAACCATAACTTCGAAAAAAAATTTGAAAATGCACCGAAACATGAATCAGAGTGCAAAGAATGTCCTAGAGGCAAGATTAGCAAGCAAATACAGCAGTCACTGGTAACAGTTACAGTACACAGCATTTTTAATTTTTCTTTTGAAAAATCTGCCTTGTGATCCCAGTATGACAAAATCATCCTACTGTTTTCTCTAATCTAAAACAATTCAAATCATCAATAATCAAGAGAGCATCAGCTGATCACGTTTTAGGATGCAGCATGGGAGTATTAAGTGACTGAGCATTGATCAAATGACGACAGAATCTGGAGACTGTGTCTCAAGGAGTATTGGTTGACCCTGATGTTAAGTATGATCATATTATATAAGCCTGCACTGAGTTACTGTTTCTGCTGCTGAAAAGTGCTGTTAAAACTGCACATACAAATATATTTGCAAAGTCAAGCACCTACTAACATATTTCTGCTCTTCAATCCATCTTAAAATGGCCTACTCTTAAACCAACTTTCTGGCAAGGAAATACGGACCAGTACCTGACCCAAGCATTTCACGTTCTCAAGGTAAATTCCATTAGCATTTAATGTATGTCACCTGCAGGAAAATTCCTTTTTATGTAATAACCTGCAAGTCACTGAATGATTGAAAATGAAGGTGCCTTTTCTCATGTACCTTGCACAGACACAGGGGATGGAAAGAAGGCAGCAGCATTTCAAAAGATGATGCTTACATATCCCTCCTAAATGCCTTCTAAATGTATACAGTTCTCTAGGGAACAATCAACTGAGCAATGTCTGTAATGCTCAGGATATAATTACCAAAATGAGATGCATACCCTTCATTACACCAGCAAACAGTTAACTTTACAGACTATTTCTCTTACTTTGGTGCTCTCAAACCTTTCTTTTTTCTTTTTTCTTTTTTTTAAGTAATCAAGTGCTTCCAATCTTCTACACTGCAGCTACTGTGCATTCAATGCCAGGTGCTGCACACCTCACTAGCAGAAACTCAGCACAATGCAAGACCTTCTCCAGCCCGTGTAGTTTCATATACAGCTGTAGCATGACAGAATGTCTTTGGGATTTAGCAAATTCAGACAGATTCTGTTGCTACATCCCACAGAAAAACTGCCATGAAATTCCCCCTGTTTAAAAAAAGAAAAAAACGAACAGCCTACATCTCCAAACATGACAGTGCATTCCTGGCATAGAACATGCAATGCAAGAAGAGAAAAACGACAGTATTTATGTTACCTTCAGTCACATAGTTGTGGTCTCGCAGAAAGCTGTGGTTAATTTTCCGTGTGTCCGTGTCCTCGCCCATTTACAGCAGGATTACTCAGCATGCCTATCCGCAGTGGACTGATAGCATCAGCAGAGGTCGTCACAAGAGCACCATCCATGCTGCCACTGCCTAGCAGAGGCGGGGAACACACCGGGCCACTGAGCACAGCATAATGAGAGCTATTGAGGCAGCACAGATTGGGGGGAAGGGGCTGGGGGGGGGAAGAAAAAAAAAAAAATAAGAAGGGAGAAAAATGGGAAGAAGAATAGCGGGAGAAAGCCGGAGGGGGAGAAACGGCTCCGAGGAATGAGGGCTGCAGAAAGGCAGCAGGGAGCTGAGGGAGCAGAGGCACTTGTGGCAGAGTTGCGGCGCGGCTGCAGCGGGAGCCGCCCGGAGCGCAGCGGGTCGCGCCGCTGCTGTCACACGGCCCTGCTGCATCAGCCTGGCCCCTCCCCGCCCGCCCCGCCGCGGCCCAGCCGCGCCGCATCTGCATGGAGAAAAGTGAAAAATGACACTGCAGCTAATTATTCCGGCTCTTCTGCCGGGGAGATGGGCAAGGAGAGAAACTGAGGGAGGGGATGAGGGAGAAGAAACTTCAAGCTGATTGAACGCGTTTGAATCGACACGTACCGCACACGAACACGCGGCCGCGATTTTGTGCTAGTCGTGCTGTCATCTGCAGCAAAAGCAACAGTCATTCAATGTCAGCCTCTATAAATATTACCGAAATTGCCAAATGTCTGCCTGTGCCAAAGGATTCGTCAGAGGCCAGGCAACGGTTCGGAGGACGTAAGATAAAATAACTGTTATTTATCTTTTTTACACCCAGTTTTTTTAGATACACGTAAAATTACAAAGTATTTAAAAACAACCTCTCTGGCTTCCCTATACAGGAAAGAAAAGCTGGACAAAGGGAATGTTTGCAGGTCATTGATTTTCTCAGACCTGATACTCTTTTAGTGCTTTATCCCATCATATTGGAAAGCAGCGTTGAAATACATATACTCAGAAATATGAAAATAAGTAGAGGCAGAAAATTGCTCACTTGCATTGTAAAATAAAGCTTGCTCTTTAGTCCAAATGCTTAATGTTTTATATAACAGCAAATTTCTTTCAACTGAACAGACAAGCAATTTCCTTTAGCTTTTGGTTTCTATTCAATAAATCACAAACTGTTTGCTGCAGAAAGTATGCATTCAGAAAAGGTAAGCACCACTGAAGTTTAAATATTTGAATAGAAAACAAATGGCTGTATACCAAACCACCACTACAGCATGCTAAGGGAGTCCACAACCACAAAACCAATAGAGGAGAGAGAATCTTGTGCTTTAGGCCCTGGAATTGAACATGGAAAGTACAATTTGGTTGTCAGCATTACTGCATTTTGTGTAACACTGCATGAATTTTTATTGGGTTTTTGTGTTTGTTTTTCTTTCTTTCTAATGAACTAGAACATACAGCTCTTGATTCAAGTACCCTGTTATTCCTATAAACTGGCATGTGACTTTGAAAAAAGTAGAAAAAAATCTGCTTAGGGATACACAACTTATTTCAGGATGAAGCCAGGCTAGGGGGGAAAGAAGAATAGCAATAGAATCAGTTTTTCTTCTCATTAATAGAGAAAAATAAAACAGAACCATCTCCAGCCTGGCAAGTAAATATTTTAAAATCTTCATATTTGAGCAGGTGAGAAAGTAAGAGAAGTTATTCAGTACTTGAACCTGTACAAAACATATTTTACATGTGGGTTTAGGCAGTGACAATACTAGAAATGTTATTTCTGCATTGACAGCTGACAGTCACTACTGTGGCAGTACTGGCAGCTCTGCAGTATCCTCCCTATCCTCTTCAGAAAAGAGGAAGGAGGCCTTGCAAATACTGATATTTAGTTTGGACAAAATGGTTCTAATCCATGTGATGCAGCTGGTTTATTTTGACCTTCCTTGACATACTATGTTCTCACCTTGGATTTTGAGCATAACACACTGCACACGAAATCCCAACTCTGCCAAAGTCCTTGGCAAAGACTACAACAGCCATTTTACTCTCAACTATTTAACACAAGTTACACCATTCTGGGTCAAGAAGGCACCTCCCTTCAGCATCTGTGCAAACTGCCTGCCCTTACAAAAGTCTGTCCAGATCCCCTTGTAAAGCCTTCCTGCCTCCCAGCAAATCAAAAACTGCACTGGTGATCAGCTGCCAGCTAGCTGTAACTCCATTTACCACCACTCCCTGGGCTCAGCCATCTAGCCAGGTTTTACCCAGAAAAGAACACACCCATCTCCAAGCAAAGAGCTGCCAGTTTCTCCAGGAGAATGTTGTGGCAAAATGTGTCAAAGGCTTTACCAAAGTTTATCTAGGCAACATCCACAGACTTTCCCTCATCCACTAAGAGGGTCACTTCACCACAGCATGAGATGAACTGGGTCAAGCAGGACCTGCCTTTCACGAACTTGTGCAGGCTGGGTGTGATCCCGATTGTCCTGCATGTGTGTGTGATGTCGCTCAGAGTGATCTGCTCTATAACCTTCCTTGGCACTGAGGGCAGGCTGACAGCCCTCTAGTTCCCTGAATCCTCCTTCTGACCCACTTGACAGATGGGCTTCACATTTGCTGACCTCCAGTCAACTGGGATCCACTCCTCCCTTATAGCCAGGGCTGCTGGTAGATGATGGAAGGTGCCTCAGTGAGCACTTGCACCAGCTTCCTCAGTCCCCTCAGCTGGATCCCAGCCAGCCCCATAGACTTGTGTTTGTCTAAGTGGTGTAGCACGTCACTGATCATTTCCCTTTGGACTACGGGGGCTTCATTCTGCTCCCCGTCCTTGTCTTCCAGCTCAAGGGACTGGGTACCCAAGAACTGGCCTTGCTGTTAAAGACTGAGGCAAAGCAGGCATAAAATACTTCATCTTTTTCCTCATTCTTTGTTGCTATTGTTTCCCCCTGCATCCAATAGAGAATGGAGGTTCTCCTTAGCCTTCCTTTTGTTCCTGATGTATTACAGAGTGTGGATTGCTCTGTGAAGGTAACACTGAGAAGCTATTACTGTGATGACTCCTAAAACTGCAAGAAATGTCACCTTGCAGGGCATTTGATGCCAAAAATCCAGCAACACATTTGAGTAGGAACAACTACAGAGGAACAACTTCTACCTGCAAATACACAGAAAATGAACACAGAAATTATTCAAATGATGAGTACAATCTCAAAAAAGTCACACTGACAGTCTGTAAAAAAAAACACTGGTACCATTGTCTTTGTAAATACCTCTACATTTATGTGACCAAGATGGCTGAGAGAATTCTGGCCTTGTTGTTCCTGCTCTTCCATGTAAACTCATCAATAGCTGTCCTTTATTTTTTCAAAATTTACAGATTCTATGGTCTGTCATTTAGAGCCTACACTGGTTATTTGTTAGGTGTAATTTAAGCAGCTAGAGGTGTTTTCATTTTTCCTAGAAGCAAAGTGGACATTTTTTTGTGAAGTCAAAATTGCAGCTCCCATCCAGATATTATTTCCTCCACTCACCATTAGAGAGGTTCACGGACAACTTCCTTAGGCATCACATCTGGGTCAAATCACACTTACCCTGTTCTTCTTATTTTTAAGTTAAAAAGAATCTCGTAAGGAGGAATGGAATGAGGAGGAAGCCTTTAAGAAAAACCCTAGACAATATTCCCAGTGTGCATGCAAATGCTTTCTCTAAGATTATGAGCCAAATCCTTACTGTGTGGCAAATATTAGCACACCACTGACTTAAGTAGGTCAGTTCACATGAGAAAGATTAGCAAAACTCTGCTCTAAATTTGTAGCACAATGCAAATTTGTGAGCCAACATTTGCAAATAACTAGCTGTGCCATTTTAAAATGCTACTTATTATCAATCCCACCTATAACCTACATAATTTGATATGGTCAAATACCCAGGGAGAAGGTGGTGAAGAAGGAAGCTTTAATCAGAAGTGCATTGGTTACTTGGACTTTCATAGTAGTTCACAATCCTACTCATAAAACAGCCCTCTAATTGAGTTGAATACACTACAATCAGAAAAATAAAAGAGAGTCCTATCTTAAAGAATTTATAAGTAAACTATAAAATAGAAGAGCTACATACTGGTCAGCAGTGACATTTAGGTAGAGAGTCAGTAATGAGGATGAAGTCCTGGTTTAGAGCTTTCTAAAAGAAGGTCATTAGAGACTATGGAGACAAGCAATAAACTGGATTCAAGAGGTTGAAAAATAACTGCATAACAAGAATAAAACAAGCTTAGACATAAAAGGAGGCAAACTGGCCAGCAGGTCAAGGAGGAAAGTAAAAGGCTAGAGCATGCATGACACAGATGCTGATACAGACTGTGGGTGTCAGTAAAAGAAGAGTTAAAAGGAACAAGACAAACAAAAAATGGATCTGTGCCAGTCGGAGGAAAATCTCAGAGGACAGGGAAAGAAAATATTTAAAGAGAGGAACATTTCCCCTTGTCAGAGTTTTGGGCAGAAGAATTGGAGAAAGGGGAAGGTAGAAGGGAAAACAAAACAAAAAACTAGTCAACCAATCAACCAAAAAAAAAAAAAAAACCAGAAATGGAAGCCACAGGCAGCCAGTACCCCGAGGAAGGAAGCAAAAACTATTTATGATAAAAATGGAACTGAGAATGTAAGGATTGGTAACAGTGTAATCTAATGGTAAGGAATTGAAGAAGATAGAACAAATCTTTGGCTGAATGACTGTTGATCATGTTTGCTCACTGCATTTCCAGCAGGAAGCTCTGCAGCAGAAGAGAGGAAGGAATTAGGCATTAGGAGGCAGTTTGTCTTTTGTCTTGAAGGTTACTGTGTAATGCTGTTTATAAACACCTGTGGAATACATGGCCATCCTGTTCTACTCTTGCAGAACCTTTATGTTCTCTTAAACGTATTTTCCTGAAGAGCCTCTATTTAGCTTTGTCAGACACTAAGAGCACAACCTTTAATAATTAAACCTCTCAATATCTGGAATAGAACATCATCAGGTACTCTACGTCTCCATTTGACCCCTGAATTATGCCACTTCACCACCAAATTCATCATTCCATCTGAATTAGAATGATTAAGCTTGTACTGCAATTGAAGG